ATTTAGCATCAGCAAACAGAGTATGCAGTTACATATATTAATTCATATGATCAATCAAAGTACTAATACAGATGAAGTGGGAGACGAGGCTCGAGAACGGCAACAACAGGAAACTTTCGTGGTGTAGCCAATCCATAAACTTCCTCCATGCTCAACTCCTCTTCTTTGATATTCTCAGGCAATTTCCAGTTGAATCCCTGCAACAAATTTGCAATCATTGAAGATATCATCTTCAGTCCCAGGCTGTATCCGGGACACATCCGCCTCCCGGACCCAAAAGGCAGCAGCTCAAAGTTCTGCCCTTTCACATCAATGGCCTTCCCCTGCAAGAACCTCTCCGGACGGAAATCTTCTGGGGCGTCCCAAACGTCAGGGTTTCTTCCCATGCTCCAGGCGTTTATAAAAACTACAGTCCCTTTAGGGATGTCAAAACCCCCAACTACACAATCTTCCAGGGCCAGATGCGGTGCCAGCAGGACAGCAACAGGGTGTTTTCTCATTGTTTCCTTCATAATTGCCTCTATATATGGAAGTTGTGGGATGTCCTTCTCTTGCACCCATCTTTCCCTCCCAATGACCCTGTCTAGCTCTTCAGTTGCCTTCTTAATTAACTCTGGCTGTTTCAAGAGTTCTGACATCGCCCATTCTACAGTTGTTGCTGAAGTATCTGTGCCTCCCGCAATTAGATCCTAACATATTAAGCACAGGACAACAACAAAACTTGGGTGAAACAGTTCTTAATTTTTCATTTTAACATATCAAGAAAAACTTAACATTAACTTTGAGAGGAAACAATTCTTGAATTGAAAAAGAAACCTGAATGAACCCCTTGACACCGTCATAATTGAGCTGAACGTCGACAGAATCATCATCTGTGAGCTGCAATAGTAAATCCATCATGTCTTGAGGCACGAAATTTGTGTCTCTCCTCCTACTATTGTGATCCTCAATGACATAGCGATGAAACCGATCGAATTTCTTCTTTAAAGCCTTCATTCGCTTCACATAACCCTGTAAGTCCAAGAAATCTAGCCAGGGAATCCAATCACCTATGTTGAGCACTCCATTAAGAAAGAACAACTCATCCAGCATCTCCTGAAACTCTTCGAGCGTTACAATATTGGATCCAATCTCATGCTCAGACTCGCTAAAGTATTTCTTCCCCAACACCATTCGGCTAATGATGCTCAGAGTAACCCGAGAGAGCTGCTCCCTAAGCACGACAGGTTTTCCTGATAAGGCATTTAGCCGTGAGACGAAAAACCGCATTTCCTCAACACGGATGTACTCGAAGGACTCCAGCATTCGTGAACTGAAGATGTGGTTGAGATAAATTTTGCGACCTTGGCGCCAGTGTGGACCGTATGGTGACCAAGTGATGTTGGAATAGTTGTAAGTTGTGTACTTGCCTGCGGCCGTCCGTGGTCTAGAGGCAAAGAAATTATCAAATGTCTTCAAGAAGAGCTTAGCCATGTCAGGAGATGATGCAATGACAACGGGGAAGGATCCGAACTTGAGTTGCATTAAGGGTCCATATTGTTGGGATAGTTTGTGGAGGGATTGGTGAGGGAGGGGACCAATCAGGTTAAGGTTGCCAATGATAGGCCATGGTTTGGGACCTGGAGGAAGATTTAGTCCATGGCGACGGC